AGAAAAAGCAAGACATGGGAGCTGCAGGGTGGGCAGAGAGAAGAGAGAGAGAGACAGAGAGAGAGAAAGACAGGACAGCTGAAAGAGTAAGAAGAGGGAAGGTTGAAAAGAGAGAGAGAGCGTAATGGACAAAGAGTAGCGAGGCTCTTTTTAACTCAGTCTCCGTGGAAGAGAGATGTCAGTCTGTGTCAGTTCGCTCCACTAACCAGCCTGTAGCAGGAGAAACAGATCTCTCTCTCCCTCTCTCTCACACTTTCTTGCTTTCTCTTCCTCTCGCTCCCTCCCACACCATTTTTATCTACTTTCTTCTCTCATATCTTTTGGTGATAGCTTTTCTGCCTCAGTTGAGAGAAGCAGAAACACTCCACAGCTCAGGGGAAAACAGCAAGACTAAGTAAAAGACCAAGCAGTGAACCAGCCATCTCTAAAAGGCAGGCAATGTATAGTGCAGGCCTTGTCCTGATCACACTTCGGGTGAGCGAGAACGGGGTGCTCCAAATGCTGTGGAGTAAGGCCCTGAAGGCAGGGCACGCTGCCGGCTGAGCAGCAGCGCTTTCCTTCATGTTTTGAGGAGGGCAGCACACAACTCTTCAAACACAGAAGGGATCAAATCCTCAAATCCCCTGGAAATGTCAACCACGTTTGAGGAAATGTCAGTAGAGCTGAGAACACGCGCAAACACTCAGACACCCGCACTCCATGGCAAGACACCATGGCAAGAATGGCAACGTGATATAGGGCAGACACGTCCTGTGGGTGAAATCGACTTCATCTCCTTCATATTCCCAAATCTCAAGGGAGAATCACTGTATACCTCTGGATTTTTTTTTTTATTCCCAATAATGTTGAAGTTGTAATCTGTGGCATTTTCACATGAATAAACATCTGCTTTTCAACTCTCCAACATAAAATGATGTAACACAATAGCGATTCAACCAGTTAATGCCAGTGTGGTAAAGACATAACAACAGCTGGATTTGGCACCAGAGGAAAACGAGGGATAATTACATGATTTATTGCTTTGAGAAGTATTTCAAGGACCAAATTAGCATTTTATGATTTACTCTCTTATTCACATAAATTAGATAATATGGAACCCTTTGTGATAATACAATTAATTTAATATCAGAACTCCTCATATGTAGATCCTTAGTCGAATCAAGTGATCTCATCTGCAGCCACTGACATCATCCTGTGTTCCTATTGATCTATACTCACCCCCGCTGACTAACTTATCGACATCCTCAAGTGTATTTCCTGTCTAGACTGTCAGCAATGTTTATGGATGGCCCTGCCCCCTGGTGACACACACGCACACACACATGTGTACCCACCTCCTCCGCTTATCGATGTATCCTTTTGCTTTTGACTCCGTCTTCCTCCTTAATGAATCTGGTAGGTGTCGAACTGCAGATGTTGTGCAGGGCTCAAGTATCGACGGGCAAGACCGTGATGAAAGAGTTTGTCCCTGGAGAGGCCTGGGTTAGGTCACAATGAGTGTATGTGTGCTTGTGGGAGAGCGAGAGAAAGAGAAGAGTTATTGTTAGAGGGTGCCTGTGTTTCTGGATGATGTGCAAGTGTAGCGCCCCATCACTCCCTCTGTGTCACTACTAGGAAGTGATATTGAGTCCAGAGCAGGGTGCTTGAGTGTAAGACAGTGTCAGCACTGCTTCAAGAGGTTGACAGGTGAGATGTGGGACAGGCGAATGACTGGAGAGGTCGGGACTGTCTTGATTGACAAGCCTCTCTCTCTAAGACCCTCAGATACATGCACACAAGCACTCACTTCCTCATGCAAGCCTGCAGGCCCTCTCTGTTTATCTGCAGCTTCATATCAAGATCTGCACTCGACCGCTAATGTCTTGTGATCCTTTGAGGGCACACAGTACTCCACACTGCTATGTGATTTCTGCTGGCAGGCTCTCTCCATGTCCTGCAACATCATCCATTACCAACTTCCTCCTTACCGATTAGAGGAGATAATGCTGAACTGTGGAATTAACCTCAATTAGTATTACCTCTCTACATCTTTCTCATTTCACCTCCTGACTCTTGCACTGCGTCTTACATGTCCCTGGTCTATTCCTGCTTTATTCAGAGGGCATATATCAACACAAGTGTGCATATTAACTCAGTCACAGTTGTTAAATGTAAAAAAGCAATAATATAGCTTCATTTAGCTTCATTTAGCATGCAAGTTATTTCTTACTTTTAGCCATGCTCCCGGCATTGGTCGAGACTGAAACATCTCAAAGTGTCATGAAAGTTTGTACATAAATTCATAATTTTAAGATGATGGAGCTTACTGACTTTGGTGATCCCTGTACTTTTTCTCTAAAGCCACCATGAGGTTGACATTTGTCATTTTCCAAATAATAAAATTAATTATAATAACAACTTCTGGCAGACATTTATGTTCCCCATAGGAGGAATTGTAATAACTTTGGCGATCCCCTGGCTTTACATGTAGCACCATCATCAGCCACCGTCATTACCATCAGCCTCAACTGTACTTTGTGATTAATGCTAATTTGCGAACGTCAACATGATAACATGCTCAACTGATGGCACACATTACTTGCTGATCATCAGCATGTTAACATTGTCATTGTGAGAATGTTACCATGCTGATGTTAGCATTAAGCTGAAAGCACTGGTGTGTCTAAATACAGCCTCAAAGAGCTGCTAGCATGGCTTTAGACTCTTAAGCTTGCCCACAGTAACACTCTGTTATGGAACAAGGCATACTGTGAGTAACTATGCCCCTCCCTATATGTATGGGCATAAATTAATCATTACAGAGAAATGATGGCAACAGCTAAACGTGTACCATCAAATCTTGGCATACCAGCTTGTTCTTTAAGGCCAGCATGTTGAGTCTTGCTCTCCACCATCTGTTTTGGTGGACAAGAAAAGCCACAATATCTGGCCCTGTTTCAGGTCAATATTCTTTTTTCTTCTTCTTCTCACAGTTTAAACACTTTAATATACAGTGTGAAGAATTCCTAACATTTATATTTAACATGTTATTTTACTTTTTGTTTTATAGTGCTTACTTTTATGTCAGGGACCTTTCCATACATCTACCTACCTCTAATATCACATAATATTGGCACACACTTACACTTACGTATTAAAAAAAGGAACTAGATAACTCAAGCTTTTTACTATTACATACTACCCTCCTTAGTCTGTCCAGTCCTCCACTGTTAGTCCACCTACATTCATAATCATATATATATGTATATATATATATATATATATCACAAGGAAATTACATTACATTACATTACTAACCTAGCAGTTGATTGACTAAAGTAAAGGTTAATATAACCTGTTGCTAGAGCCTTTTAAAAAAAATCCCTCTGCCAGGGTCCTCCTAAAGCCCCTCGCGTGTGCACAGAATGAGACCTGTAGGTATGTTTATTGGGTATGTTTTCTGGTAATCCCGAGGCTCAGACATGACTATTTACCTGCAGGTTTTATTCTATTTTTTACAACTGATGTGTGTACGGATTGGGGAGGCACATCCAACACGTCTGATGAGGAGATAAGTAAGGAAACTTGACAAAGCAAATAAGTGAATATACCCAGTCTTTGGTAACACACACAAACACACTCGAATGAGAATCTCAAAACTTCAGTGGCATATTACAGAGAGTGCGTGGGAGAGGTGGATCGTTAGCTTGAACAAAGGGTGAGTTTATTGTTAAGTGAGGTCTGTTTAAATGGTATTTAACTGCTGGCATGGTGGAAGCAGCTGTCTGGGCTTGAAGAGAGGGCAGGTGGGCAGGTCTGAAAGAGGCAGTTAAAACAAACTTCCAACAAAAAAAGTCCCCCTGACCAGCAGGTGGATTTACATATAGGCCAACAGCCAAAACACTTATCAGTTTTTGTGTCATAGCTGCTGTTGTGGTTCGCCCACTCACTCTGTAACTGTAGGAGGAAGCATTGATGCTTCTTGATGCTCACAAACACCTGCATATGTGTGCGTATGTGTGTGTAATATAAGCACAGAGACATACACACACACATGCAATCAAAAAAAAGAAAAAGGAAACGCTAACTACTTCCCCCTTGGCTCCTCATGAGAAGTCATTAGGAATGTGTCTGTGTGTTTTATTTTTAGCAGTGTGTATTTAGGAGTGATAGTGGAGTCTCGTCAGTCTTCAGGGCCCTCCTCTACTCTGTCGCTCTGTGTCTCTGTCTCCAGCTGAGAGCTATGTATATTTCATAAGCCCAGGGTGCCTTTTTGTCTTAAGATGCGCTGCACCTCCCCTGCCTGTCTCTCTGCTGCTCGTCAATGGTGGGAGCCATCACAGCCTCTTTTAAAACTCTCCCCCACTTCTCTCTCTCTCTCCCCTCGCTGACAGCCACCCTCTGCTTCTTCCTCTGCTTTTCATGGTCAGCTTGTCTCTTTCCTGAAGGCTCATCCCTCTTTCCTCTTTCAGCTGTGTAGGGGAGCAGAGTAGAGCACATCCAAACAGACTTGGACTGTCAGGAAAACTCTTTCTCTCTCTCTGTCTTTCTCCTTCTTTGAGTCTGTCTGTCTGTGTGTGTTGCGGCTCTGTCGCTTCTGGGAAGGGACACTTCTTCACCCAGCACTGCATCCCCTTTAGTTGTTGTCTTTTTATAGCAGAAATCTGAGTGCTGTGACAGCAGCTAAAAATGGTTGCACCAATGATGAGCTACAGCAGCAGTTAATTGCTATATTTGCACCATTTGTGTCTTTTATATTGTTTAGATCTGATTATTATGTCTATGTCAATATTGCTGTTGTATCCCCAATGATGGTCGGACATTTGTGTTCTGTAACATTTTCAGGTCACCATTTAGTCATTGTGTATAGCAGAATCTGCATCTCGAGTTGTCGGTAATTAGTGTAGAGGACTTATATTGAAGTCACTCATTGATTCAGTAATGAATTAACTCCACCTCTGTCTCAGAAGAAGTTCCTCCTTTGTTCCTTGTATGTTAATTTATGTCTTTATATATTTCAGGCGTGTACTGTGATTGAGAGTGCGGCCGGAGCCAGTAAGGAGGTGGACTCTGGCCCTTTGCAACCTGCAGGTGACCACACTCCTCACCCAGTGACCTTGGAGCCAGAGAAAGCTGACAGAGCTGAACTCCCACTTTCCAGTGAGTAGCTCCCTCGAAGGCCACATCCAAGTCTACACTGTTGCTATGTTTTTAAGCTATGTCTTATAAGTGCCATTTTTTACTCTCTTTTCTCTGTCTTTATCTTTTTTACATCTGTTTTACGCAGTCGCTGTGGCTTAATCCTGTCCAGTTTACTTATAAGTCCTGTGTATAGGTTGAATGTGACTGGAGAATTCAGTCATTTCGCACCACTGTGATCTTTGATGAATGTTAGTACAGACCACTACAATTATATACCCTTGTTTCTATTCTACAATCACTGGCAGCATTATCTGACACAGTCGTAATGTTTAATGTTGCATTTTTTTATCTCATCACTCTGCGTGGCCACAACAGAACATACAGTGGTGTGAAAAAGTG